TGGTGGTTGTTTCATCCAAATTGGTTTGGTACATCAAAAGTTATGGTCAAAAATGTGTAAAACTCTTAATGTTAACACTATATAATTATTTTATTTATTTAAGTTTTTGTTGTTTTTATTTTTTACTTATATTTTTTAAGATTTTCAAAAAAGAGTTGACAAAAAGTATATTGAATAACTATTGTTTTTTCACAAATCTTTACAATCTTAAGTATTAATGAACTTACAAAAACTTCTTTAGTATCATTTACTTCTAATTTATTAATTATTTGAGAAATATTAACAACTATCTCAAGATTTATATATGTATTGTTTTCTTTTTCAATATTTATAAACTTTTTATAAATTATATATTTAAGCTCTTCAGATTTTGCAGTATTTTTTTTGCTTACAAATATCACTTAAAATTTGATCTTTATGTTTTCTTTTATAGCTTTTATTTATACAAATTGAATACTCAAAATATGTTATTTAATTATTTTGAAATATAATAATGGGTTTTATAATTCAACAAGATGAACAAAGATTTGAATTTTCTATTTTATAATATTCAAAGAAAAAAAAATTTCAATGAAAAAAAATTTTAACAAAAAAAAATTTTTAATATAAATAATAATTTTTATTATTATATATATTATTATTATATATATTATTATTATTAATCAATGTTATTATTATTATATTAATTATTAATTTTAATGTTGACAAATAAATTTAAAATCTAATTATATACATGATACTAGATAGGTCTGATAAATACATTAGTAATAAAAAATATAGTATGCATGTTTTATATTAAATTATCCAGTTTAAGTATATCAGCGTTAAGTTTTATTTAGTAATTGTAGTTTATATTAGTTGTGATTTATGTATTATTAAAACTGAAACAAAGATATGCTTTTAGAAATAACAATTAATATTGTGTCAGAGATTATTGTAAGCAGTTGAGTTTGTGTTTGTGTAGCTTAGCACTAGTTGGTAGTTTTTTATCTACATAATACAAACTGACAAATAATAAAATATGTAATATTGCTATTCAGCAGTTTTAATATGAAAATGGCAGATTACAAAGATTATAAATCTGTTATTTTTATGTATTTGTCTATAAGTCTGTTTATTTTGGAAGTTTTTTTATTTACTTTTACCTTTTATTATTATTATTATTATTTATCATTTGCTTATATCTATATATTAGTATATCTAATTATTATCCTATTACAGTGATTTTATATATATAAGAATAGTTTTATATTTTTTTTTTTAGAAGTTTATCATTATAGATTTTGACTAATGATCGATTTTAAGATTTTATAGATAATTGTTTAGTCAAAATATGCTTTTGACAGCATAGTTGTTATTGTTATTAAAAGGGTTCATATATATCTATAAAATGCATCTGATGACTATTTACTAATTTTTTAAATGAGTAATAAATATACACTTTACATTATTATTTCTGTTATGTCTTTTGTCTAAAAGTTATTCCTTGTAATGTTTGTTTCTGGCAATAATGATTTTAGAATCTCAATAAACTAGTATTTTATTGCTATATTACTATTAGCCTTATAAACAATATGTTGTATCAAAAAGTATAAGTAAGATTAGTTCTTTAGATTGCATATGTTTTTAATACTGAGATTGGGTATAAATCATTATTTGTTAGATTGATTACTAAAATTAGTTACTCTTTGTTTTATGAAATTTTGTTCTAGATAATTGTATTGTTGTTATTTATTTTATCAAATTTTAAAACTTATATTATCAAAATTTTACTTAAATCTTGCTATAAACTAGGTAAAAATTCTTCTAAATAGGCTAAACCATAGAACACTACTAATATAACTGTCCAAAATAGTAGACTGTTAGAGTTTATTATATTTATGCTTTCTTGTATTATATATAGTTATTTTTTAATTATGTGTTCTTTTTTGTTTATTAATATGAAAATGTGATTTTCTTCTATATGATTTAGTATTTATTTTATTATTGAATTATATCTGTCTCATTTTATTCTATGTAGTTTATCATATGATGATGTTTTAGAGCAGATAAATATAATTTTATTGTTTGTAATAACACTTTTATATAAAAATGTTTGATGAATTTCACTAGATTTTCTTTTGATATTGGCTAATATAACTATTTATATTTAGCAATTCATAGGTTCTTACTAAATTTTGGTATCATTTTATAATTGCATTATATGTTTTATGTATTAAAGAGTTTATTTTTAAATTCTAGATGTCTATTTATTTAATGATATATTGTTAGTTGTAGTTTTTTCTAATTGTTTCATAACTAGTTACTGTTTTGTGTCTTTATATATTTTATTAGAATTGTGTTCTCTTTTTATTGTCTTAATAATAGTATTATTAATCTATAGTTTTTTCTTTTATTATAGAAATAATAGAAGTTGTTTAACTATAGTATAATAATTATAATTTAACAGATTCTACACAAAGTCTACAATAAGACTTAACAATATACAAAATAATTTGGAATTTTAAGTCAAAGACAACAATAGATAATATATGAAGATACTAAATATTATATTTAGTTTATTAATTATAAATATATAAAGATACTTAACTTTCTTAAAAGATTAAAAATAATATTTTATAGATATTTTTTATATATAAATTATTACAATAAAAACTGCTCTATTGTTAATAAATGTTATATATAATAATGTTAAGATATATAAGAACTAATAGATATAATAGGAGTATAATAACCTAGTAAAATAAATCAGTTATCTACCCTCAAATAACAGGTCTAAGGTTCAAATTCCAATGACAGTGAAAATTTACAATTCTTTTTATATTATAATTAACTATCTTTAATAATTGATTGAGATTAGATACTTGTAACCTATATTTTACTAATATAATAAAAAGGTTTAAGTATTCATACAATATTAAATAAAAAACACAAACTGGTATTGGATAGATGAATTCATAATAAATCTTTAAGCCATATAAATCACAGAAACTAGATAAAAATATAAAAACCCACTTGAAAGACCTAAATAGAGAGATAATCTAAATTTTTAACAGTATTATTATAAAGACTAAATCTATGAAACAAAACTAGAACTCATAAAGTCAGACAAAGAACTGATCTTTGAAAAAAAGTTGAATAGAACCAATCAGAATTCATTTCAGAAGAAAAGACTATATGTCAAAGAATATGTAAATCAAAGATATATGATAATAACTTAATTTTTTAAACTATCTAGTTTGGAAACTTAATAAAACTTAAATTGAATACCAAAATAGTAAGATTATGTTGTGATGTCAGTGCCAAGATTAAGGTAAACTTTACAAAGACATAATAATTTAATGGTATGTCCTAACTACAAATATTGATCTCAAACATAATAATATCAAGTCAACTGTAAGAATAGGATACAGAAGATTATGAAAGGTTTAATATAAGATCAAAAGTTTCTTATAAATAAACTGCTTTAAAGACTTAGTGATAATAATATATTTTCACTATCATCAACTAGGGTTGTTAGTAGACAGGATAAGTAAGTAGATACAAGAACTAGAGTATTTAAATAGGGAACCTACAAACAGGTTTCAGGTATGACAGCTAATGTAGAACCTTTGAGGAGACTACTTAAATTAGATAATAACTAAAGTTGTATGAGTGACTAGTTGTACACTCTTTTCATGATTGCCTCCTGTGATTATAATGCAACCATTAGCCAAATATACTATCAATAAAATCCTGGATCGCACATTCTGTTTCGTAGATCTCTGCAATAATGATAAGAGAAGTGAGAGGAATCCTAAGATGTCTAAGGACCTTCTGGATGCGGAGGAAGAAAAAAAACTATATATATATATATATTACAAATAATGCCCATTAGTATCATCTATACTCATGTCGATCATAAGACATCTCTAATACATTTTTAGAGCAACTGTTATTATTGCCTTTTTATCATTTTTAGAGTAACTGTTATTATTGTTCTTCTATCATATTTAAACTCCTTTAAAACCTTCGGAGCCAAACTCCGAGAAGTCATACGTGAATTTATCATGTTCAAAATAATTACTTAATATGTCAATCGAAAAAAATTTTCAAGCCATTCTACAAATGTTTGCATATCGTAAATATGTACGAGGCTGGCGGCGAAGACTAAATTCTTAAAAGTTGTTAAGGTTAGGGTTAGGGTCAAAGTTAGGATCTAGAGGGGGATAGCTCGTATAGTAAAATTATTCAATAAAAACGTTTCGTTAGAGCACAAAAGGTAGTTTCTTATGTTGATTTTTTTTGAGCTATGAGCAATTTTTGGCAAACGAACGTCTTCCTGATCGTGTTACGTTACACCTAATCTTGACATCTGATTCGTAGTTCAGGAGATCTGCGCCACCAACCTTGTACGTACACATTTACGATATGCCAAATGACATATGTATAGTACTGTGGCTTCAACTCCTGTTTTGGGAAAATTAAAAAAAAAACTATCGGAACATTTCTATAATAAAATTCCGAACGCAATAAAAAGTAATTCATACTTGCTGTAAGGATAAATTTACTTTGTAATTACGATGAAGTGTACAGAGTGTGGATTTGATAAACTTTCTAGAGAATTTCCTTTAGATATTATTTCAAATCAATGTAATCATATTCCGACTTGGTGCTTAAAGGTTATTTGTTGTCAACGTTTTAAAGACCAGTTTTTTTTTTTGAATATTTTTTAATAATAAATTTGTGTGAAATGCTTTTTTTTTGATCTTTTCTAAAATTAGTGTTTGATGAACCGTTTAATAAACAATGATACCAATAGGAAACGTGTAGCATCTTGTCCTCAATGTAATGCTACTCTCACACAAAATGAATTAGATTCTTTAAAATTTACATGGGACAAGGCTCAAATTTTGGTTAAAGTTCCGTATGCAAATGTACTTAAGAATGATAATGTGATTAATGAAGAAAAAGGAGAGTTTTATGTTGTACTATTGAATGGCCAAAAATATCCGATGAGACTTGAACATGTCAAAACTGTTAGAGGGTTGAAACAAGCATTAATGCAAAAGATTGAAATTGAAACTAGAAAACAAAAGTTGATATTCGAAGGCGTTGAATTAAAAGTTAATATTTTAAATGTTATTCACATTAAACAATTCTATCTTGTTGTCCTAATGAATACCAACTATTTTAAACAATAGGAATACGAAAAGAGACTTATTAAGTACGGAGTCCGAGAGGGTAGTCATGTTCAACTTATTGTTGTTCTCTACTCTATCACAAAAGAAGTGTCAATCTCCAATCTATCATTTGATTTACATTGGGGATTCCCGAGAACAGGACTGGATTATCTCGATGGAACTTGCTTAATTTATACTGGTAATGAGCTTTGGAAGAAGTATGATTATGCGTCTCCATTTGATTCTTGTATACCTTATATTAGACATTCAGGCGATATAATTGATGTAATGGGCCAGCGAGGTTAGTGTTTAGAAATATGTGATTACAACTATGTTCTGTACTTTGATCGTAAATATCTGATCCATAAGTTAGTACTTTTAAAATAAAGCATGCTTGTTGATGGTTTTTGATCAATGCAAACACTATACGAACGCATATTCCTTAGATAAAGTTTATTATTGTACTTTAATAAACAACAATAAGCAATAATCAAAGAATGCGTCACAGTTCATGTACAAAAATTTTAGCAGAAATAGAGATGCTATCTTGATCAATGTTCACTACGAATATTTATGATCAAAAAATTATGATTTTTTTTTTAAAAAAAGGCACTATATCAATGCATATATTGTTAACATTGTTTGATACTTTCAATAAATAAACAGGTCGCCATATAATCACAATCAGATTAGACCGGCTGCCTATGGAGGTTACCAAGCTTTATTTTATCCTTAGCGCATGGCAATGCCCAAATATTGGCCATTTTTTGAATCCAAGTTTTCTGTTATTTGATGCGGATTCACCAAAAAAAGTTCAATTATGTGATTATTCAATCCGAAGTGCCGCAACTTCGCAAGCTGTGATAATGTGCTATGTTGAAAGATCAATGGAAGATTGTTGGGAAGTTATCCCTGTTGGTCTATTATCCAATGGGAATGCTATGAATTATGCACCTATTAAAAAATCTATTCGTGAATTAGAAAGGAATATTAGGCTTCAGAAGAATTTGTAGTTGTATGAATTATGATATTTAAGAGTTATAACAAAGTATTTGATTATTTTTTCAATAGGTTTGAAAGGTCTGATGCTGATTTTATTTTAAATTTCTATTTAGTCTAAATTCTTCAGTCCATTTCTTGCTAATAAATAATGAAAAATTTTTGGTATTCTAGTAAAATGTACTATGAAACTTAAAAATTTGATGTTGATTAAAATTTTTTATTTTTTTTTGAGTATTACTGTAATCGTTAGAAAATTTCCATTTGTTACACTGACAATATAGAAACCAACCAACTAATATCGATTATGAAATCACCTTTTGGCTTTTAACAAAAACGCTTTGCTCAATTTTGGTATAAACTAAGCAAGGATTTAATTTTAGTTTATAAATTGTCAAATTATACAAATTTGTAATTTAATAAATTATACCCATGTATAAACACTATATGCAAACTAATAAATTTTTAATCGTTATTGGTTTAAATAAATAAATAAAGGAAAAAAAATTTCGGATGCAATTTCATTTACATCTAATTATTTGTTGGTGCGAGACACCATTTACAGTAAAAGCATCTAACCGATTTTTATCATTATAAGATGAAGAACAAAACTGAAAAAAACAAAATATTTGTTTAAATCTAATGCTAATTGTTTGAGATGTCATTTTTGATCAATCAAAAAATTAAAACTGGCACAATAAGCAGGTACTAATAGAATTTTCTGATTTATTATTGTTATTTTATCGTTGAAATTCAATTTCAATAATCATGACCCTCTTTGAATGGCTGGTAAAAAATTGTCTCAAGTCTCGCTTAGTAGACGAAACCGATGTTGGATATTGTCATCGAAATATAATTAGAGTAACAAGGGACTTACAAACGGCTAGAAATAGTGCCAAATCTAAATTATTCTGTATAATTATATAATTCTTGTATTATTATACTTTAATAGATGTAATTAAAAATTACTGTTAGAGAACAGGAATAAACATCAAGATATTGATGATATTTATTTAGCAAATTATTTAAATACAGTATAATCATAATCAATCAAATTTAATTCCCTTAGTAAAAAAAAGAGAATGGACAATAATCTAGATATTGTTTATAGTTTAGAAAAGTATTGGCTGAAAGCAAATTTAATTTTTTGAAATTCTTTTAAAGAAATTGAAAATATTAAAATAATAAGTAAAGGTGAGTTTGAAACATTATATTATCTGGAAACCCCGATAGTTTATACAATCAGTTGCGTCTAAATTGCTTGTATTTCAACAATTTTCAGATGACTCTTGTAATTTGATCGTGTAATAATCTTCACTCTGTAGTGCAAATTAAAATTGAAAAATAACTTTATCGCTCATGATTTCAACTAATTTATTTTCAAAAATTATTACGCTTTGCATAGCGAAATATTATACATTGCTAGTTGGAGCTGAAGGAAGCAAAATGAAGTCTTTCAAACATTGCTCTAGAAATTTTCGAAATGTCCGGTTCCCAGTTCAACTGTTCCTGTTAAGATCAACATGCAAAATTGATCTAAATACAGTCGTTCACGCTGTTTGCTTTACATGAAAAAGATGTGATTATAAAATTCTAATAGTAATGTGATAATATAAATTATTCTCACTCAGATCTCTAATTCTATTTATTGTAATTAAAAAACACATATGGGAGTGTGCTCTGCCCTCCGTTTGTGCTGATTTTATTACATTTTGTTATACATTACCGGTGCTACCTGTATAACATCCTTATGTGTTGGCTTCAACTATCTAGTTGCATGAGACGAAGATCAGCCGAGAATCGAGGCTTGGGTACTACTCTAAGGTTAATAAAATATATTTCACTACTAGGCAATAAGAGAAAGATGAATACCGGGTACAAAGATATACCGCAGCTGTGTGTATAGTTATATGCAACTTTCTAAATCAATTAAATGTTAAAACGCTTAGTCAACTGTATACTAAGATATGGCGCCCTATAGTGTAGAGGTTAGGAGCAGGTCATCAAGCACCTTACTGAGTCAATGAGCAAGTCCTCACGCATTTGAATGCATGGCATATGCTAGCCACATCACAATAAAGTAGGGTTGTTAAAGCATACCTGACAACTTACTTTACACGTAAATTACACTGTAATTTACTGTAACTTACCCGGCCCGTTTGTAAGTTACAATATAGCTTTAAAGCTAGCCGAATCATTTGACAATTTTTACCAGCATTAACATTAACTTGATCGAAGTTTGAAAGAGTTTCATTGTTAATTTGATACAAATAATACTATGACATACAATATCGATATTTGTCGATCAACTCACATAACTTATACGTCAGTTACAGTAAACTTAAAATTGGTAAATTACGGTAAATTTACATGTAAGTTAACAACCCTACAATAAAGTGTCCACCTTTTTGGGGTGCGGAGTGGGCGGGAAGACAACTAAAAGCCAGATAGAAATCGGGCAACGAAGAAACAAAACACTAACCCTCTCAACAACCACTGGGTTACTTATCGTTATATACATAATTATATGAAAAGGGTCAGATGATCCTCGTGATAATTGCCTTAACGTGACTTTCATCACGTAAGGTCAGTTTTTTAATAAATATGTTGCCGATAATTTTTCGAAAAGTGGTGCTTATAAAAAGGTGTGATATATAGGTGACTGTAGAGGAGGACGATTGTATTAAGTTCAACACTTGAATATCAAATCGTGGTTTAAAACCCAATAGATGAATTTTAATAAATTAACTTTTAATAAAAGAACAGATTATCTGTTAGAAGTACGAATTTTCATGTATTATAAGCAAATATATTAAATAAATAAAAGATTGTTCTTTTTTTTCTTTGGCTAGAATGCAAACCGACAAAGAGCTTATACACGTGAACAAATTGCTATAAAGAATGAAGCTAGAAGAAAACTAAATAACTAAAGAATCGGGATTAATAATGGAATCTATATCAAACCATAATCAAGTAGTATCATTTCAATCTATTAACTATACTAGAGAAAAATCAAGAATTCTGAAATAAGGAATCTTAAATAAGGAATTTGCAACTAGTTTTACAATTATAGGTCTGTACATTTTCTGACCTTTCGATGGTGCTTTGTCTTTGACTGATTACAAGTATTTGGGGTAAAATACGCGTTTGTAACAATGAATAATAAAAAGAACATAAATTGCTTTTTGTATAAATTTGTTATAAATTGCTTTTTGTATAAATTTGTTATAAGTAACATAAGCAAGCAATTTATAAAATTTAAATACTATTAAAATTTAATTCGAAAGTGTAAAACCTAATAATTGGGTTCCGGCCCACAAAATGTCCCGTTTTTCTAGTTAAAATATTTACAGGTTTGGATATTAATATCAAAAATGGAATTACAATTAAAGTACATATACAGTATATTTAAACTAGGATGTTGGAATATAGAAAGGAAAGATAACTTTAAGTCACAGGTTTACTATTTACAAATTTGTTACATGTGATATTTTATTTATCAATATATGGGTGCATAATTAATAGTATGAGGACCTCCCGAGAGAAAGTGAAAAAGTTCCTTTTGTACATAATTTATCTTTAAAAATATTGTAAGCTTCTGTTATTAAAAATATATAACAGTAAATGGTATATTGCTAGCCCAAGGAGTATTATTTTGTTTCCTTCCTTGATCGCTTTGCCCTATATTATGGGAGATCTTCACTTCTGATCGTATTCACCGTAATGAATGAGAATACGCTCCTCAAAGTATCTTGAAAGAATTCCACCTTTAGTAATAATAACATGTAAGACTTCAACAGAGATAAATTTAGGACCGAATTTTATAGTGTAAAAAAGACAGTGCGCTTTCCCATATTGAAAAATAATCCATTCTGCTTTCGCTTGAGAATCTTTGCATATTAAAGACCATCGCTTGCAACCTAGTGCCAAATTGATGAAATGTTTAACATATTTAAATATATATATCATGATTTCATTAGGTATGCAATGTTGTAAATATCTCTGTCATCTATTATAGCAATAAACATATTTTGAATTAGACGTTTTGCAAGATATTACTCGGACAATGATTAAAGATCGTTGCCCAATGTTCTTTTCAATTTGTATCTTAGTCGTTATGATAATAAATTATTCATTGAGATGTGGTTAAATGACACCATAATGATGTAGCTACTCCAGTAGGGTGTGAAAGATTTTCGCTGTTCAAAATCGGTTTAAATATATAGTGTAAATTAAAATAGTAAATTCAAATATTGAGGATTCTTTGCTGGTCATTCTTCTTAATAATGAAATATAGAAAATTAAACAGTAATAACTTCAGCTTTGGTTGGTATTATTAAAAGAATCTTTGGAAAGTAGTTGTTATAGGTATAAAAACATCGCAAAAATAATACATATTTGATGTATTGTTTTTAAAATAATAGTAACACTTTCCAAATATTCTTTAAACAATGTTGACAATATTGAACAAAAACCTATAAAAGTTTTTTATTATAGAAAACTACAACCTATGTGCATAGAATTATATTTATTGAATTCCTCTTGTTAAAGAATAAGTAGAACCATCTGGTTTTTTTTTTTTGTTTTTCGTACAAGTTAAACCAATTAACTTTTAGAAATCAGAAAAATGACACCATTACTTTAAAGAGCGCGATGGAATTCAACAAATACAATTCTATCTTTATAGGGTTAATAGTTGAGAGTTATCATCGTTTATAGTTTTCATAAATTATGGGACATCAGAAAAAATGAATTAATTTCAGTAAATGTTAGTGACATATTTAATTCCTTCTCGGTGAATTATCGATTTGTCATCAGAAACTTTTCGGCTGTCCCAGAATTTATGAGAACAGTTGTAAATTTTCTATATTTATATTATAATATTGAGAAGAACGCAAGATCGAATGGAAAACTTCGTTATATCTACTAATGAAATTTTCACACCTACTGGAGCCTGAATAATCAACTACCACAATATCTCAACTATACTCTTCAAAAAAAATAAGTTGTTGCAAAGTAAAAACCTGTAACTATAAAACTAATTATAATTTTAATAGAACGATACAGTAAATTTAATCTCCGAGATATTTTTACTTAGAAAGTTATTATAGTAATAGTCCGTGGTTACTAGAACAACATTCTTAAATAGAGGTTAAACTTACTATTCTAATAAAATGTATTATGCGATCGATACTACGATATATAGTTAAGCAAACGATTCAGAATCTAATTCATGCTATAAAAAAACATACTTATTTATACCAAGTCAGGTTATTCTCTTGTAAGTTTGAATAGAAGATTCGCAATATATTCGGAATCTGGACGATTTGCAGGATCTTCGTTCCAACAGCGCTTGTATAGTTCGACATATTCAGATGGTGTATTTTCTATAGGTGTTTCTCTTTCTCCTTGAATTATACGAAAAATTATCTCGGCTTTTTGCACAGATTGAAAAGGTATTTTGCCGCTCGAAATTTCCCATAAGATTACTCCAAGACTATATATATCTGATTTCTTGTCAAGTTTATATGAACAGTCATTTAGAAGTTGAGGGTCAGTAAACGCTGGCATTCCATAAATATTATGATTCAAATTTGTTGATTCCTCCGAATCGGACGTTAATGAATGCCCAAAATCTGAAATTTTTGCTTCTATTTGTTTGTTGATTTCTTCTTCAGAAATTAGTATATTTTTCGTATGCTAAAAAATGGCATAAATGTCTGTTGATCAGAATATGCTATATATAAAAGAAATATTATTCATGGGTTAATATAAAAATAACATACTAAATCCCTATGAATAATTTTATGCTTGTATAGGAATTTGAGGCCACATGCTAAATTCTCGGCAATGTTCAACTTAGCTTCCCAGTTTAATTGATTACAATGTTTTTTAAATATTCTCGCAAATTTCCACCATTGGCATATTGCATTACTATACAATCATTCATATCTAAGTCTATTTTAGTATTTAAATTAATAATTTTAATTTTAAAAAGTGACTTCACGAAGGTGCTAAAGAAAAAACTCGCCTTTAGTTACGCCTAATAATTCAATTATATTTCTATGAAAGCTTATGTTATGTAAAATTTGAAGCTAAAATATATAAAATTTATTTTACATTATTTTTTTCTCTGCATCAATAAAGAGTTTTTACCTTTAAGCCCAGTTAAAAAGGCTATTACTCTACCGATTTTTTTTAAATTTGGATCTATATAAAACCTGTAGATTCAATTTTAATTCAAATAGAGAAGTAGCCTTTTGTGCTTAAAATTTATATTTAAAACCGACAGCACCATAGTATAAAATGATATAATTTTTTTGATTATTTTAGACTAAATAAGAAAATACCCTTCAGCCAAAATTAATAAAACATGTGAGTAATAATTTTATTCCCAACTGCAGAGAATAAATATCATTAATTTTTTTAAATTTTATCGTTTTGGTCGTATCAACAGAAAAACAAGGACAAGATCTTAATAATTATGACCTTGATTTAATAATTATAAAATTTTATACTTTTACGTTTCAATTTATATAACTTAAGTCATACCTCTGTAATTATCAAATTAAGAGATTTATTCTTTTTTAAACTTTTAAAACGACAAATTTATTTCCATCTTTCCACAATGCTTTATATATATTTCCTGTTCTTCCTTCGTCAATTTTCTTGAGGTCAGTAAAATCAGAATAACTGATATGGTTTAATATTTCATCACATATATTTGCATCTTTCCACGATGATGCTTTAAAATTGGTAATCGTAGAATATGCGATATCGTTTAATTTATCGTCTCTTATTATTGGCATCTCAAGTATATAATTGTTAGGTTGATATTGTATCGCAAAGAATCCTTTGAAATTACCGTATTTATATATATTGCAGAAAGATGCATTCACATGCGCAACAATTTTTAATATATTCTAGATCTACATTATGCGAATAAATAAATTCATGACTTATCATCGTACATACATTTTAATACCTTCTTCATTGTGATAAAATGGCTTCTAGTTCTGGAGGATGGATTGATAAATCTGTAGAATGGCTTATTTTTAATAATCATATTAAATGTTTTGATTACGATGACTTTACCGATTTCGAGAATATTGAAGATGGTGGACTTGGCAATATTCGAAAGGCAACATGGCAAGACTGTAAACTAACAATTGTTCTTAAAAGTTTGAAAGCTAAAACATTGAATGTTGAAAAATAATCAGAAGCGAATAATATTCAGGAGTTCATTAAAGAGGTATTGTTATTTAAAGTGTGGTAATAGCATTAAATTTTATTATACTAAGTAAATCTTAAGTAAACTTTTTAAGACATTTTACCAGTATAATGCCAGTTTTTAAAATTGGATATATTTCACTAATACGGTTTAAACTTCAGTGAAAGCGTCTTTTTTACACTTTTAAGATTTAAGAAAACTTTATAGTAAACCTCATTTGAGCCACTATGTTGTTCTTTATGTGCATATAGACGGGAATATTTGACGGGAATTTTTACATATTTTTCGACTTAGTATATTGAATAAAAAAAAACATTTTTGCTGATGTTTGAACCATAAAATGTATTAGTAAAACAATTCCAATTCTCTAACCTTTTTTTATAGTGTAAAATGTCTACAACCAATTTCAGTAATGAAAAAAAAGTTTATATGCAAGCTTATTTTTCGGTGTCTATTGATATCTTAGTAACATTCATTTTATATATTATATATGAGCAGCTTCGAATTTTACATAAAGTTCGCTTTCATCCAAATATTATTCGATTTTATGGAGTTATTAAAGGTGAGTAATTCGCGAAATTCTTTTATGAAATCTTGGGAAATTAATAACTCTAATATCTTATAAATTATTAAGATCCAACCAATGGATATAATTTGATTTTTAATTATGCAAACGATGGAAATTTAAGAGAATATTTAAAGAAAAATGTATCAAAATTACTGTGGAATGATAAATTACGCATTTCTGAGGAAATAACTCGTGGTCTTACGTTTTTGCATAAGAATGATTTTGCTCATCGTAACCTTGTAATTTAATTTATTTAACATTAACTTTCGCTAGCATAAAAAAAATGTCTGCTATTAATACATTTATAATATTCATTAGCATACTAAAAACATCCTAGTCTACAATGGGAGAATGCTGATTGCAAATTTTGGCTATTTTTTAAAGTCTGCTAATTTATGCATGAATTCATATGAAATGCCAGCATTTATTGAACCTCGATTTCTAAGTGATTGTTCATATAAACTTGACAAGAAATCAGATGTATATAGTCTTGGAGTAATCTTATGGGAAGTTTCAAGCGGAAAAATACCTTTTAAATCTGTGCAAAAGGCCGAAATAATTCTTCGTATACTTCGAGGAGAAAGAGAAACACCTATAAAAAATACACCACCAGAATATGTCGAACTATACAAGTGCTGTTGGAACGAAGATCCTGCAAATCGTCCAGATTCCGATTATATATTTAAAGTTATTGAAAAACTTGAACAAAACAAAGACAAAATCACACAATTTCAATTAACTCAAGATTATAATTCTATTGAACAAGTTCAAAACAATTCTCTCGGGTCAACTAATCCTGGAACTTGCTATAATTATGAAGTTAAAAAAGATGAACATAGCTATTATCAAAAACTCACTGAAATGAGATATTTAAAAGGGAAATTTAAGATTGAAATATGCCATTTGTTTGAAATTGAAGCAGCTAGAAGTTTAGAAAGCGCAAAGTGTTGCATTAATATTTTAGATTTCGATCTTTCCTCTTTACGTGATTTTGGTCATGCTTATTTCTATGAGTTTGGCGCACATTCACCTATTAATTATCTTAAAATTTCTACACATCATAAAAAATTATGGGAAGATAGATATAATAAAGTTCGTGAATACCTTTTTAAACAAATTAGAGATGTTGTTGCTGAAAAAGAATTATTGGATTGCATAGATAAATTTCTCGGTGATAACATTATTAGAAAGGTTAAAAAAGATCGTAAGAAATCTGCTACAATCCCCAATATTAGAAAAGTAATTGTATCTAAACAAAAAGATGATGATAGGATTGAACTTATTGATTCAGTAAGTAGGGGATTAGACGCTCCTAAAGAAGAAATTATTGCTACAAATAAAAAGAAAAAAATTAAGAAGGCTTACAATAACGAAAATCACCGTATAAGGTCGTACTTATGATTTTGTCAGTAAGTAACCCTTCATATTGATTTCAATAATCATTTATATAAATTATTTTAATTAAAATAATACATGGTTTATTTTAAGTTTAAGAATTTTATGAAATTTAATTCCAAGACAACGACTACTAGTTTTTTTAATTTTTCATCTTTTTTTACTTTTTTTTTTTACTTTATTTTTTCATTTTTATTTGGTATACTTTATTTATTTTTAGTTCGCTATTTTTTTTTACTTTATTTTTTTTTTTGCTTTTTTCAATTTTTATTTTTTATTTTATTTTATTTATTTTTATTTTATTTATTAGAATATTGGGGTTAACCAATTTTTTTAAGCTTTGTACTGCATAATGCAACAACATGTGAAACGATTAATTATGCATTCTATAAAAGATGCTGAGTCAGTTTTCAACTCAGTTAACTTAGATGCTTCGAAATTGACTTATGTCATCTGTAAATTTAAGAGAATGTGTGCCTGGTTTGTGACGCAATAAAAGTTTGGTTATATCAAGGTTAGGGTCAGGGTTGGGAGTCAAAGGGGTGTAGTTTATATAGTAGAATTACCCAAAGAAACAGTTTTATTAAAGCATTAAAGGTGGTTTCTTATGTTAATTTTGAGAAGTAAACGGTTTTTGACAAAACGGACGTTTGTTTTGAATTTACTTTGATCGTGTTACGTTGATTTTACAGGGCATAGAATTGATTTTGCTGTCACGTGGTACTCAGAAAACAAATATTGTTGTTAAAAATTTCGGTTATATTTGGTTAAAGTTTGGGTTAAGGTTAGAAAAAAATTGCACATGGAACTTTTTTTGTTAGAATTGCAAAGATGATTTATTAAACAAACTTGTGAAATAATGAGATTTTTACAAAGCGAAATTCATCACGCGTATAGGTCAACGGATATACACATGCATTCTGATTGTAATTACAGAGCATAATTTGAATACAAAAAAATGCAACCGTAAGCGATGTCGTAGTTGCGATAACTAACGATAGCAAAAGCGAGAATTTTAGACAAAAATTGGTAACCTGATGATCGACAATTTTTTTAAAGTCTTATAATTATAACGATACTTGTCTTATACTAAAATTTTGCAATGAATTTTTTTAACAGTACGATCACATGTAATGTGGAGGGATGGTTCCATTCAACTTTTTGGTACGCTATATCTTTTCCTATTTTAGAAGGTATTATAGTCATCGGTTTTTTTCTTATTTTAGTAGATACAGTATAAAAATATCATGTTATAATTATTTATGATATTCGTCCGTTTAAACGTTTTTGATTGATGAGTCTTGGAAATTCTTGATTGCTATTTAAAATATGTAATTATTGCATAATTCATAATTAGTTAGTTCTCGATAACTGATGACACCACACCATATGAGCTTATCATTTCATTCTCACTACGATAATTCGTTAATATCGTAATAAGCAATTTACGTAACATATATTATAATCGTTCAAGGTGAGTATGAAGTTTAATTATGCTCACTTTAATGATTTTTTTCAAGAGAATGTATGTATGATTAATCGTAATAATTTAATTGGAAAATATTGTTTGTGCTTATTCTCGAAAGGTTGTTTGATGCTCTTTACTATTAGAAGTATTTTACTATCAGTCGATTGTGATTATGGCGCAGTAAAAATACCTCTATTGTATTTGAGAGTGTCAAATGACCTTTTGAGAATAAGCATTAACAAATCATTAAAAATAATTGATTTGGGATTTAATTCTTAAAGGGTTTTTTGATGCAATAGAAGCGTATCCTCTTCATATCACAAAATAATGATCAACCCAAATGATCAATGGGTTCCAGAATTTTGCAAATTGCAATAAATTACCAACATGTGTACGAAGTTTTAATTCAGTTTACTATACCGATTTTTCAAGAGAATGTATGATTATCTGTAATTATTTAATTGTTCAATAAATTACCAACATGAGTATTAAGTTCTGTTCACTTAATCGATTATGTTTTAAGAAAATGTATGATTAACATAATTATTTAATTGTTCAATAAATCACTAGCATAAAGATAATATACTGCATGTTTAATCGTAATCATTTATCGTTCAATAAATTACCAATGCGAGTATGAGGCTTCTGTTCATTTAATGATTGTTTTATACAAGCATAAATATGAAGTTTAATTCTGTTCGCTTTAACATTTGTTTTTCAAGAGAATATATGTACGATTAATCATGATTATCTAATCATTCAGTAAATTATTAGGGTGAGTATGAAGTTTAATTCTTCATTTTATGTTTGTGTTTCAAGAGAAATACTGTATTTATGATCAACAGTAATCATTTAATCGTTCAATAAATCACCAGAGTGAGTTTACTTTAGCGATTGTGTTTCAAGAGTCTGTATGTATGATTAACCATAATCATTTAATCGTTCAATAAATTAACAGTATGAGTATGAAGGCTAATTCTATTCACTTTAATAATTGTGTTTCAAAAGAAAGTATTATTATCCGTAATCATTTAAATTACCAGTGTGAGTATGAAGTTAATTCTGTTCATTTTTAATTATTGTGTTTAAGAGAATGTATGATTAATTATAATAGTTTAATTGTTCGTTAAATTACCAGAGTGTATGAAGTTTAATTCTGTTCATTTTAAATATTGTGTTTCAAGAGAATGTATGTTTAATCCTGTTCACTTTAACATTTTTGTTTCAAGGGTATTGTATGTGTGATTAATCATAATCATTTAAATTATCGTTATGAGTATAAAGTTGAATTCTGTTCACTTGAAAGTAAAAATCACGTTAACTCCAATACTACCACAACCTTACCCACTGTATGTAATTCTATACAGTAAATCATAATAATTCCAATGCAACAAACTCAACCTTAACCGCGTATTGTGATAATTGAAATAGCAAGTTCTGTAACAGAAATTTTATTCAAAAATCACAATAATTATAATACCAACTCAACTTTAACAACTATACTGTATATACTGTACTATATTAACAAGTAAATTCCTACCACCCATCACACTAGTATTTGTAATATGACAGTTGAATTATGACATTTTTGGTCTATTAATAATGTAGCAATTGGATTCTAATAAAGATGATCTGTGATTTCTGAATAATGTACTTCCAGGAGAATCTTCGGACACTTACCACTCATATGAATTTGCACTTATCAAATTATTTAAGCATATGAACATACGTCTGAATAATTGATAAATACAAATTCATGTGAATGATGGTCTACATATCATACGATGTACAAAAATCTTAACTCCTAAAAACAAATAATGAAATTCATTACTTCTACTCAAAAAGAATATTTAAAAATCAGCATAGGCTATATAAAAAAAGTTAAACAGAATTATCATCTAAATCCTATTAACAAACTTATTGTAACAACTAATAGTATTCTCATATATTTGGTTGTATGCCTCTTTCGTAATTACAATTCAGCGATTAAATCTTACTTAAGTCTTTATCAGATTTTATTTAGTTACCATAATGTATATAGGCTCCATACTATAGATGATTAATTTTTTGAATTCTATTTTGAAGGTGAATTAATAATCGTTGCTACGATAATGATAAATGTTATAACTAGAGCTTGGATCCGGTTATCTGTTGGATACAAATTTAATAGCCAAATCCATCAGATATCCATTAAATTTAATATGAAACGAATGACCGGATTTAAGTCAATGTTTCCCAGGTCACGGTGCATTGTTATAGTAAATCTATACCTAATGAAGCGTGGGGGAAGATGAGTTAGACGCATTATTATTATAGGTCAGAGAGCCAATAATTTTTTTGGGGGGTTCAAATACGTATTAGAAATTGATAATAATTTTGTTTCAAACTTATTTAAATTTGACAAACATTCCGTAATGGTAAGAATACTATAGAGCGTAGAGTACTGCATTTAGTATCCCTCTAGAATAATATCCTATATGCTAAACTAATTAAGTGTATGGGTGTATGGGTAGGTGTATGCTGAAAAAAATTTATTTGACATTTTCATCTATTTCGAAATCAGCGATAAAACAGGTAAAAAGACAAATAAGTGTTCTCAAAAAATTGTTCAATTCATATAAAGATAATACATTTCAAGCCCCGTGTAACACAGAATTCGCCATTTTCAGGTCATGTGATGATCGATGCCAAATTATCCAATAATAAATCATAATTTAGCGTAACGTAACACTATTAGGATAATTCAAGACAAACGTTCGCATAAGAAACCAGTTCTAACACTAACTTGACACGAAAAGGAAATTTTCCACTCGGAAAACATACACAAAATGATGTAAATGTTGAATATTGGTCAACATTACATTTTTAATGATAATAAAACAATATAAATTTGACATACTAGTGTATTGTTTTTTCTTCACTTAGTTTGCTTCTTTTCCTTTGCCACCTAATATTTTTCATCTCTCCTGTTTAAGGTCTACCAGTTCTCGAGAAAGAGCTGGTTACGCTTCTTCCTTAAGTAAAGAGTCGAAAAATTTGGTGATAGAGGAATTTGTTAGCAAACTAAGAAAAGCTTCATACGTAGAAACAAAGATGAAACCTAATTTCTATCTCTACGTAGAAGAACAACCTACTCTTGTAATGGAGATGCAAAAGAGACTGGTTAGGCATAAATATGATGTGATATCGGTATACATCCTAGGCTCTGGTACCGAAATTACGCATAGGAATACTTTATTATACTCTTTTAACATTGGCATTATTTTTATGCTATTAGGGATGCCAAAGTTAAGTACCTAAAGCATTAATTTAAACGTTTATTTTTTTAAAAAAAAAACTCTTATTGACGAACTACTATTTTAATTTTTAGAATTTGCGAAATTCTTTCATACGGTTTAAAAAGAACTAAATCAATCGCTTAATCGCTTGGGTAACTTATTTATATGCTTTAATTTTTAGTTTACTTTTTTGGATGTAACGTTTTAATAATAATAATAAAACATTGTAAAAACCATTTCTAGCTTCGAGATAACGTCTATCTACGCTATATAAGAGATCTACTTACATGTGATGTTATGATTTAAATCTAATGAGCGATAATTAAGACATTAAGTAACAAGCGAGTGAAAAGCTCCTGATGATTTTTTTTTAAATAATTAATTTTTGATCGTCAATTTAATATTCACCCATCAAGTATATTTATTCAAGATTTGTTAATTTAAATATAAATATTTAAATGTTTGTTATATGATGTACTAGCACAATACAATATATTACACTCATAACTAACTTCCTTTAAGCAACTGAAGCGCCTAGTTATATGTAGCTTTTTTTTTTTATATATGTATCGACATTATGCATAAGTCTAAAAATACTTGTAAACAGTATAAATTTTGATTTTTTTTTACAGCTCTACGTATCTGTACAGTACATATATCATCTAGTTTGAATTATCAATTTGTGCATTCACATAAATTTTTCCTATTTTATATATATCGTCATTTTTATTCGTGTGATTAGTGGAGAACTTTCTAAAAGAATTTCTCAAATATTTTCTATATGCGATTATAAAGCAATTTATTGCATTATGTATTTATAAATAAATCTAAATAATCAATTTTAAAAAGAAAGCATTGAGCTTTGGAGTAAATATTGTAAGGAGAGAATAATAATTATAAAATGTCTATATTTAAGAAAAGTATTTAGAGTGAGTCGGCTGTAGAGAATTTCTCTAATGAATCTTTACTAATATCTAAAGAGTATAAAGCAATGTTTTTGTGAAGAATCTTTGCCAATGCACTTTTTTCTTTACAAGTAAGGCAATTATTTAAAAAATGTAATGATGTTAAAGTAGTATTTTTACATAGAGCCTCGGCTATTACTTTTCCCCCTTCAAAACCAAGTTTATTGTCTCCAAGATCTAAGGAAGTTAAAGCGGTATTTTTATAAAGAGCATCAGCTATTACTTTTCCTTCGTTAAAACAAAATAGATTATCCCTAAGGTCAAGAGAAGTTAAAGTATTATTTTTACAAAGTGCGTTTGATAATGCCTCTATTCCTTCAAATCCGAGCCGATTATTACTAAGATTTAGTGAAGTTAAAGTGTTATTCTTGCAAAGTAATTCTGCTATTATTTTTCCTTCTTTGGAACTAAGATGATTGTTACAAAGATTCAAGGATGTTAAAGAAGTGTTTTCGTAAAGAGCTTCCACTATTGCTTTTATACCATCGAATCCAAATCGATTACCACAAAGTTTTAAAGATGTTAGAGATTTGTTTTTACAAAGAGCTTTTGCGAAAGCTTTTCCACCTTCTAAACTAATTTGAGTATAATTAATATTTAGAGAAGTTAATGTATTATTTTTACAAAGAGTTTCAGCCAATGCTTTTTCCCCTTCCGAGCAAAGTTTATTTATAGAAAGGTTTAGGGAGTTTAATGTAGTATTTTTACAAAGTGAATCCGCAAATGCTTTTCCTTCCATTGATCCAAAATAATTAAAAGAAAGATTTAAAGAAGTTAATGTAGTATTTTTATAAAGAGATTCAGCTAATGCAATTCCACTATGACGAAGTTTATTTTTGCTGAGATTTAAAGATTTCAGAGAGACGTTTTGATAAAGAGTTTTTGCAAATGCTTGTCCACCTTCTAAACCAAGTTGATTATCATAAAGATTTAAAGAGATTATAGAATAATTTTTACAAAGAGCCTCTGCTAATGCTTTTCCACCTTCGTGCCCAAGATTGTTATTACTAAGATCCAAAGAAATCAATGTAGTATTCTTATAAAGTGCATTTGCCAATACTTTTCCTTCTTCAGGTCCGAGTTGATTTTTACGAAGATCTAACGAGGTTATAGAGTTATTTTTATAAAGAAACTTTGTAAATGCTTCTACTTCCTCAAAATTAAGTTGACTATACCGATAACTAAATGAAATTAAAGTCTTATTTTCACCAAGAGAATCTGATAATATATTTAAACCACATAGACCAAGATTGTTATAATTAAAACTTAAAGAAGTAAGAGTAGTATCTTTATATAAAATATCAGCCAATGCTTTAATTTCATTGAAATTGAATTGGTTTTTATAAAAATTTAAATGTGTAATTGAATGATTTTTTGAAAAATAACCAGTTAATAAATTTATGGATTTGTTACAAATAATTCCATGAATGTTTAAATATTCGAGTTTTCTACATGTTCGTAGAAACATTGTAATTAAAGAACATTTAACTATATGAACCATACTAGTTAAATTACAAGGTTTACATCCATCACGATCGAGCCAATTTACAATTCCTTGAATTAAACCATAACAACAAATAGATCTTGTATAGGAAGTATATTCAAATAATGGTTTTTGATTATTTAAAGGCATTATATCCAATTTAAATAATGGAGCTTGCTCTTCGGCGTTTAATGCCAAAATGTAAATACTTATAAGTCTTTTGTCTTCGAAATGTGATAATGGTCTTCTCCATAATATTGGTACAACATTCATACACCATTGACGGTTTACAAGAAGGCAAGAAAATAAGCATCTATAATATTCTTGAAGATAAGTGAATATTTCAAAAAGACATTCATTTGGTAATGGTATCATTGTTAGGAGTTGATTTTTTTTTTTTTTTTTAGTGATCGTAAATCGACTGATACCCAAAATAAATTATAATTCTGAGGCTGCTTTGTACAACCATAAGTACATCATTTGATTCTCATTGGATAAGGTTTACGTATTAATAATTGGACGGGCTATTAATAATTGGCGGAGGCTACTGTGTAACGATTAATAATCTAATGTATTATTAATCCTCCGATTGTGGTAAAATCTGGTTGAACGAAGTAGGTAAATCTGATTGAACGAAGGAGATTTTTTTTTTCTCTTGCATTGATACAAGATTAAAAAAGAAGTACAAATTACCATTATTACAAATGTTTCAAGTCGATTTGTAAGATTTTATTTAATGCATTTGCACATGTTTAGTTAAACATATATATATTTCATTTATGAATTTCACGGTTTTAGTTTCGATATTTAAAAAAGTTTAGTCATAAGCCAAAGTTGAAAAAATGAACTTTAAATCGCTTCAAGTACAGCTATATTTTAATTATACATTTGCATTTATCATGCTACCTTGTTTTGAAGGTCCGTAATAAATAAATGAAAGTACAATTTTTCAAATAAACTTTAAAAAATGGATCTCTCATAGTATAGGTGACACCAATAATAAGATGTATTATTAATCAACTGGTTTGTAATAAGTGTCACCTATACTGCAAGTCACCCTAAAAAAAATATTTTATTCGTATATTTTCGTGAGCAAGAAATCCACACTTGTTCTTGTTACTGTTCTGGCTCCTAAAAATCGACAAACCTTACAATGAATTCGAAATAACAAAATTAAATTATTAGTATTAATTATTATTTCTATGTAGAAATTTCCTCTGACTTTCAATATAGTGTGATGTTGTAAAGTGTGTTTTACCCTCTAAGTCAATTATTTAAATCAGCTATTCACACTAAAATCCGAGTGATTTTCGATAGGTGCTGTCGAATTCAGAAAGGAAATTTGACAATGATTACTAATCATTTTCACGTTCATTGTTAAAATTTCTTATTTGAATTATGACAGCACCAATAGTCATCTTCCATGCGCTAATGCATTATCATCTGCTAACGCTAATAATGCATAAATAGAAAATGACAAGTATTCACGGATGAATGATCTATACATTTCTATTAATGAAACATGTTGTAATGATAAATATTTCAAACCTTTAAAGAGTTTTGTTTTAATGCTTCGGTTTGTTTTTTTTGCTTACCAATGAATCCCGATTTAGGTAAATCATTAAAAATCATTAAAAATTTTTATTATTGAGTCAATCCCTTATTTATGTAAATAATTTATTTGTATTATAAATTGTATATATTTTCTATCATTGGTAAGCCTGATATAGGGATATAGTGACAATTCAAAATTTTTGCATTATTAATAACGAATATTTTATTGATATATAATTTACACTATTGTGTTTGCTAACAAAGTTAATTGGTAAAATCATAATGTTAAACTCTTGGTTTCGTAATGTCATACAGCAAAAAAAATTTTTTTTTTTTAGATTGATCCAATTCTATGCCTAATCGACTTGAGTCAGTCAACTAAAAACTTCCGTGCATTTAATTAGACTATGTTCATGATAAATTTTATTGTTTATTGGAATATTGTTTACAAAAAAGATTACGTCAGATAAATTATTGATCTGACCAATAAGACTTTTTTTTTTATTCTCCGGCGTTATTCATCCTGGGACGCCAAATAAGCGTACTTTATGGATATTGACTAATTATGCATTAATTTATGCTACATGTTTATGTGTTCAAGAATACTTTTTTTTCTCTTTATCGTTAGCATGGCCTATATTTAATAAAGTACAGAGAGCTTTAATTAATCGGTTTCTAGTGTGAACCCGATTTTCGGGTCACGGGTCACGGGGACGGTGACCGTATCGAAGCGACGATCCTGACCCGATCCGAGGTCACACGAAAGTGACGGAAATGTCACTTATGTTACTTACGTCGTTTCTGCTACTTCGCCCGTATACGCGTTAAATGAAGAATATGCTTTTTATTTGATTTAAGTAGGATATAGCGTATAAGAAATATATTGCGTTTATGAGAGAAATTAATTGTAAATGTAAACAAAACGTTTATTATAAATAAAGGGCATTTTTGCCTTGGGGAATAATAATTCCCCCACTTCCCGCATTGCTAATAACAAAATCGTCACTTATAACCGTAATAAAAATACCACTTGCATACAACTAAGTACCCGACCCCTAATAAACGTATTACCCTACACGAACTAATAAACTATCGTTAACCCCACCCCTAACATAACCGTTCGTCCATACACCATTAAATCGCCGTTGATCGTCCGCCACAAGTCACGTGATCAAGCCGTCGCCGTAATAGAAGAAGTTCCAACCCCGATTCGACGAAGTGTAATCCCGGGTTGAGGCATACAAGAGAAGACACGAGAAGACAAGAGAAGGAAAAGGTTAATAGAGGAATAGATTGAAGGAAAGACTTAGATAAGAGACGACAAGCACTTACCTGCGGATAAACCACCAGCCAGAGAGTTGGATTAGTTTAGAGACAGAATCGACGAATTCCGAACCACACCATAAAAGCCCGATTCTTGCAATTATCATTCCCTCCCGTAGTATCATTACGTTCCCGTCCGGCTGTTGTATCCTAAAGTACCAGGATCAGCCGTGGTTGTATCGTTCCATTATCCCGAAGGACTGAGGATAGTGAGGTTATACGTTGTGTCCAATTACCCGAAGTAGTGAGGTAATTGAGGATTAAGTTAGTAACAGCTCAAGATTAGGAAAACCAAAGACAAGTCAAGGAAGAATACTTATCTACGGACCCAAACCACCAACCAAATCTAACACGCCTATTTCGACTTAGCTGCCGTAGGTTACACGAGAATTTGGATTGTGGAGCGACTGACTCGCCGTTTCGCCCGACAACACTATATTATAATACTTTAAACATCTTAACATTGTTTTCAACAATGATCTACTATTATATCTGACATTAACTAGAAAAATACATGGCTTTACATCAACAACAATCAAAAATTTCTAATTTTACTCACAGCTTTTATTCATCTATTTTGAAAACTTTTTGATTTAAAATTCTTACAGAAGAACTTTCTGTTTCTTATATTTATTATAAATATAATATTTTATTTTCTTTTTCTTGTCATCAATGCAACCAAACTAGCTCTTTATTTTATTGAGTTATCTGCCCATCAACCTAAACAATTTACTACTAATTTCTAATTTTCTTAATAGTATTTTAAATATAACTAATCTTAATATTCCTGCTAATCTTTTCTCTAATTTACATACTGAAATTCTTATACTTAACAGTTTCAAACTGCATAACTCTTTATATATACCTTTTCTTATTTCTATTCTATTTGGTTTAGTTCCTATTAATCTTATTTCTACTATTCACAATGCTTCTATTTCTTACCATACTGTTACTACTCTTTCTATCAAACTTCTTCTTTACTTAAACCAATAAATATACAAACAAATATGGATTCCATACTGTATTTCACATTCTCAAACTACACTTTCTACTAACTCTACTTATAGTTATTCTTCTAGTCTATTTTTACCTTCTATTTCAATACCACAAATTATTACTAAAATTGATCTTTAGACTATTTAATGGATTAAATACTATACTCCTCTTTCTTATATTATTACTTAAATCTAAATTTAGGTTAGTCTTGGCCATTCTTGTAGGTTTAAATTATAGATTATATGTCTGAGTCTTTATTCTTTATATGTAATTTAAAAGCAAGTTTTTCTTTGTAAAAACTTTAATTATTTTAATAAAGTTAAAGGCATGGCCTTATCATTAATATTTAAAAATATATATATATAATAAAATAAATATAACACTTCTGTAAATTATTTTTATACAAAAATAACTAAAAATCTGTTAGTATAATATTGTTAATATCTAGTTATTTTATTAAGATACTAATTTTAATGTTTTAAGTAAACTTGCTCAGCTTCTAATTTTATATATATTTTGAAAGTTTTAAAGAGATAGCTCTCAAACTCACAGTTTAATATTGCAATAATGACCTTTGGGTTTTTAAACTTTTTCTTTAATTATTTCTGATAACTAGCTTCACAACCTATTCTATAGTCTTAAGAAAACTTATAGAGCTCATTTTAACAATTAAAACAAGGTCTAAATAAACCTAATAGAACTAATATTAATAAAGATAACTTGAAAAACAACATTAACTTTTTTGCAAACTCTTTAAAAAATTTTTTTTTCTTTACCCCAAGTATTTTTTCTCTTATATGATTTTTGTATAATATTAAGTCATTACTACAATTATTTTATAGTAAACTAATTAATATTACTTAAAATAGTATACAATTTTTTATTGGTTCCTTCTTTTTTATTAATTTAATTTTGTATACTATTACAAAACTTCTTTAGAATGTATAACTAAACTATCATACTAAGCTATACTTGCCAAACTAGCCACACTCTGTACTATATAGGATATACAAAATATTCTTAATGTTACATAAGTCACAACAGTTTCAATAACTGCAATATTACATCATACTGCTGTCAAGCCAACCCTTACTTTTATATAATCTATATATTAAAAACTTTAATAATAAATAACAAAAAATTTTACTAAATAAATTCAACTTCAGTTCTTAAGTATATCTGTAGTATTTTTCTTTCTTTATTAAACAAAATGCCTATTCTAATTACTTAAGAGCCAGATCATTTTGATCTTGACTATTTCTATAATAAGTACAGTAATCATTATGGTATAATAATTTAAGAAATACAACCTACACAATTTAAAGTGATACTATTTGCATTTAAACTATTTGAATACAATATCTCTAAAGCTTTTTATTACTTTAAAACTTCTACTCAACCTACCATTGTCTGCTGCTATTAACATAAATTCTATACACTTTTTATTTCTAGTAATTTCAACATTCCATCTAGACAAGCAACCCCTTCTCTTTTTTCTTAAAAATCTATATTATGGATATAGACATCATATTTAAACAAGTTAGACAACTTAAAGAAATTATTTCTCAATCACCAATTGCAAAAACAACTACTGTTTTCCTATTATTATTTTCTTTGAACTATTCTACAACTTAACAAGAACTTCATTTAGCTTAACACAAACTCTCCAAATTCAAGCATATTATCATTATACATATACCTATATTATTTGCCAAAATAAAAACATTTTATGTGCTTTTTTAGAAAATAATACACATTCTCTTCTTGATAAATCTATTCTTATTATTAAAAGATTTTTAGCACATTCTAAATATATTCATAAACTCAAACTCAAACCTACTATTCAAACAAAAGCATTTACTTCTATACAAATTCAAACTGTTATTGTAATTAAACTTATTACAATATCCAAAGAAAAGAAAATTTTAATTTTAAAAAATCCTTATAATTATTATAATAAAAATAACAAAATCTATTTTAAAAGCAACCTATTAGGGGTGTGGTGACCTAGTGAAGTGGATAGGTTGTCAACCTCCAAGTAGCAGGTCTAGAGTTCAAATTCCAGTGATGGCGAAAATTTGCAATTCTTTCTGTGTTATGGCTAACTGTCTTCTGTAATTGGTTGAGATAGGATACTTGTAACTCATGTCATACCAGCATGACTGGAAGGTTAGGCATTTGTGCAATGTTGTATAAAGGAACACAAACTGGTACCGGGTGGTGTGAACCCAAGATAAGTCCTTAGGCTATGTAAATTATAAGAACCAGGTAGGAGAACAGAAGCCCACTTTGAAGACCTAAGTAAAGAGGTAACCTGAACTTTCGATAGTGCTACTGTAAAGACTAGATCTATGAAACAGAGCTAGAACTTGTGAAACCAGTCAAAGAGCTGGCCTTTGAGAAGGGGCCAATGGAACCAACCAGGCTGCCAAATTTCTAGGTTTTAGAGAAAAAGGTTACATGTCAGCAAACATATAAACCAAAGGTGTATAGTTATGATCTGCCTTTCTGGCTATCTGGTTTGGAAACTTGGTAGAACTTGAATTGAATACCAAAGTAGTAGGGATATGTTGTGAAGTTAGTACTGGTTTAGAGTGAACTCTACAAAGGCATAGCAGTTAAATAGTACACCCTGACTGCCAGTGTTGATCTCAGCCATAGTGATATCAGGTCAGCTGTAAGAATGGGATAAAGAAGATTCTGGAAGGTTTAGTACAAGATCAAAGATTCCCCATGTGAGTAAACTGCTTTAAAGACTT